GGCCAGGACAGGCAGGGGATGTGGGTGCCCAGCGAGGGCCACACGGAAGGCCTCCTCCAGGCGGTATCGGACAAATGCGTGGTGGTGAGCAGGTGGTAACCTGGGTGGGAGGTATATGCTGGGGAAGAGGGCGCTGGAGGCGGCCCAGAGCCAATGCAGTTGGGTGTTGCGGGCAAGGGTGGCTGCATGGCAGTGGCCCGTGTAATTGGAAGCTGTACCATGCCAGCCATTGCCACAGGCCGGGAAGCGATAGAAGCCCCAGAGCCCATGGGGCTGCAGTGCCCGGCCTAGCCGCAGTGTGTCCTCCATCAGTGCACGGGCTGCCTGTTCAAAGCCAATACGGGCCTTGTAGAGCTGCTCCTGGGGGTCCAGGTTGGGGAATACCCGCCGTGCCCAAGCCCAGGAGGCTGTCTGGTAGACCTGGCGGCGGCCCCAGTTCCCAGACCAGAGTGGACACCATTCCTCCCAGTCCAGTACTGCCAGGCCAGCGAAGCCAGGTTGCAGGCTGTGGCGGATCTGATAGGCAGCCCGTGCCAGGTGGCGGTCAAGGGGCACAGCCTGGGGGATGCCCCCGTTGTGAGCTGTGCCCCTCGGCCCAAGGTAGGGATAGAAGCCAAGCTGGTTCTTGTAGAAGATGGTGACATTCTGGCCGTGGAAACGCTGGCCACGGTTGGCTGCAATGCCCAGGGCCTGTAGTGGCAGGTGCACGCCAAAGCGGGCCTTACAGTGTGCTGAGGGCACATTCCACAGCACCAAGAAGGGGCGTTCAGGGGCTTGCAGCAGGGGCTGGCCACATCCCAAGCACAGGGCCACCCCTAGCACCAGGGCCAGGCCTAGCTGCATGGTCATGCCCCAGGGATGGAAACCTGCAGGAGAGAGGGGGTGTGAGCTTAGACTCCATGGCCATGGCCACACCTTCCACACAGCAGAGAAAGCTGGGAAAACTCCTCCAGCTCCTCCTCACAAGAAAGGGAGGTGCGTAAAGCCTGGTTCCCAAGGGGTCTCATAGGCCTCTCAGAGCAGCCAAAACCCAAGCTGGCTTGGGCAGCTCCCCTTCTGTATTGTCCATCTCTGCCATGGCACCACCGTGCCCTCTGACACCTCCCCCACCTACAGCTTTCACAAGTCCCCTTCTTTCCTCTGCCCATTTTGTTTCCTGCCCCAAGAACACTCAGCCCCCACCTTGCCTGGCTTAATTTCTACTCAGCACTGAGGTCTCTGCTATGACATCACCTGCCCTGGGAGGTCTACCAGATCTCCAAGTGGAGTAAGGAAACTTGAGCTCCCACTGTCCCAGCATGGATCCTGCCACAGTATGCCTGCCCTGTCCCTTGGGCTGAGACCCTATCTGTCTAGTTCCCCACTGCCTGTGCCCAATCCAGGGCCTGTAACACAGCAGGTGCCCAGTGAATGGTGATGAGTGAATGTCTCCTTGTCCCCTGGGCCTGGCAGAGTGAGAGGGGTAAAAGGCAGGTGTCCCTCCACCCATGGCCCTAAGGCCGAGGTGGATCTGAGGGCCCCTGCAGGGACAGAGGACCTAAGACAAGGCTGGGAGATGAGGGTGGGGGTCAACAAATACACTGTCACAACCACACCCAACAGAAGCCTTTATTCAGCCACACTGAGAGCTCTGAGCCACAGCCATGGCGCCATCTCCACTGGCACTCAGGAAACATGCCTAGGCTGAAGCTGCCCTCGGGGGATAGAAGCTGAGGGATGGCCAGTGGGCTGAGGCTGGTACTGTCCTGGGCAGTCAACTGACCCAGAAAGACAGCATCTTGCCCTGGGTAGCCCTCAGATGTCTTTCTCCATCCAGAATATGGGGCGTCTTCTCAGGTCTTGGTATTGAGTCTCCAGCAGGCTTTGTGGAGGTGGGGGTAGGGTGGTCAAGGGCTCAGGCAGGGGTGGGGGTGGCGGCAATGATGACCCCTTGGGGGCTCTTGGGGCAGCTTGGGCAGTCAGGCTAGGGGCCCTGCAGGGTGGCCGGGGAAAGGTGGCCCTGGGGAAGGCACTGAGCAGGGTGGCAGGCAGCCACCGACTGGTGAAGACCAGGCCCTGCACAGGCTCACCCAGCTGGTAGCCCAGGTGGGCGTAAAAGTGCAGCTGGTCATGAGTGGTGAGGTGTAGCCGGCGGAAGCCCCGGGCCTGAGCAAAGGCTTCAAGGCCCTCCATGAGGCAGCGGCCAAAGCCACGGCCCCTCAAGGCTCGGGCCACCACCACCGTCTCCACTAGGAGGCTCTGGGGCCGGTCCAGCACCCGTGACAGGCGGGCATGGCCCACCACAATGGGGTCTGCCTCTGGCGTGGGACGGGGGCTCAGCAGCATCAAGCAGAGGGGGAAGGCATCTGAGGACTGGCCCAAGGAGTGCAGGCGGGAGGCGCGGCTGCGGGGCCACTGCTCATTGATGAGGTCGGCACAGGCATCCAGGAGCTCAGGTCGGCAGTGCACAGGCTCCAGGGTCAGCTCAGCCAGGTTGGGGGCTGGGGTCTCCTCTGGCTGGCGTGCGGGATCCAGGGTCAGCTCAGTTGAGCCAGGACTGAGGGTCATCTCTGGATGGCATGCAGAACCCAGAGTCAACTCAGCTAGCCTGGGACTCAGGGTCAGATCTGGCTGGTGTGTAGGATCCAGGATCAGCTTGGCCAGGTTGGATCTCAGGGTCACCTCTGGCTGGCATGCAGGATCCAGAGTCAGTTAGGCTGGAGTGGTACTCAGGATCAGCACCACTGGTGTATAGGGTCTAGGGTAGGAGTCAGCTTGGCTGGGCCAGGGCTCAGAGTCAGCTCTTGCCTACATGTGGGATCCAGGCTCAGCTGCCAGGCTGGGAGCCAAGGTCATCTCCTGCTGGGTTCCAGGTGGCTCAGTGCCAGGCTGGGGGTTAAGGCCACAGTCTCCAGGCAGTGGTATCTCCTGAGACCAGAAGGGTGCTCCTCCTGTGGACAACAGCCATGTTGGGCTGTGCCAGAAGGGAGGATGGGGCTGGGGCAGGGAGTGGCTGACAGAGTGCTAAGGAGGGCCACACATCCTGGAACTGGTGGGCTGCACCTTGTCCCCATACTCACCTGATGGCACAGGTGACCTGGAGGATCCCATCCCCTATACCTGGGAGACCTGACTCAGGTGGAGAGCAGAGGGGATGGATCCTGGGTGCTCTGCCTTACACTGGATGGAGGCTGAGGGCTAAAGGCTAGGGCAGAAATCAAGACTCCAGGCCCCAGCCTTCTCTGACTACCGCTTTGTCCTCCCCAGGAGAGTAGATCCAGCCCTACACCATTGCATCTGGCTGGCCATCAGACAGAGCATACAAACTAGACACCATAACCCCCTGCTTAAACGCTGTATTCCCTTCGGAGGGAACACAGCTTCCCTAGGAACTCCCCTGTCCCACCCTTCTCCCTACTCCAGGTCCCAGCCTTTTTGACCACCTGGGCCATGCCTGCCACCTAACCGATATTGGGGTGCCATTCATCCACCCATCAGGCTCAAATTTCCCCTCCCTGGACTGCCTTCCCTACCAGGGGCACAGAGTCCCTGGCTCCCTCCCCGACACTGCCCAGCTCAGGACACTTTGACTGGGCATGGACCCAACTGCCCCTCAGAAAGGGCCCGGCTCACACAGCAATGTGGCTCCTGCAGGCCTGGTTCCCCACTGGCCTGTTTCGTAGCCACCCTAGCTAGATAAGAACCACAGCTTCCTTCCTACATCCACAGGGGTGTCCAACGGCTACCAGGTTGGGGGCTCAGACCTCCTGACCCCGAACTCCATTGTGTGCCCATCCTACCACAGGCTCTGCTGGCAGAAGGGTCAATGCTGGGGGATTTCTAGCGATAGGTGGCCGCTGGGCCCCACCCTTCTACTCACCTGTTCCAGAGAGAATGCCCTGGCTCCCCTTCCCCACCTCCGCAGGAAGGCCCCGTGAGCTTGAGGCCAATTCCACACTGATCAGTAACAGGTAGCCCCCTCCCCTCATACCACATCCCACTCAGAGGGCTATAAGCCCCTCACCTGCATCAGCCACCTCCGCAGCAGCTGCACCCCTGGACCAGGAGAGAGGAAACCCCAGGATCCGCCCCTGAGCCTGGAGCCTCAGACTTCCCCCTCAGGCTTAACCCTTTCTGTGCCGATCCCACCCACTGTGGGTGGGGCTCCCGGGTCCACAGAGAGAGGCGACAGTCTCTCGTGCCTCGGTTTCCCCCTTCCTCCCACTGGGTGACAAACCGTGGAGTTTGGGGGTGGGGGCTTCGGGAGCTTGACTCTGGGCGGCTGTGGCTCGGCATGCTCTGGGAGGGAACGACAGACGCAAAGAGGGCGTGCGGGGCGGCTTAGTCACTTGAGAACTGTACGCGCGGAGCAGACGGGGAGAGCGGGGGACAATGAGGACGAACACGCCGCGCATGGGGAGGGGGGCAGTACTGACATGCTGACGCCTGGCTCCGGGACGCTCCGTGTCCTCGCTCCACACGGATCTGTATCTCGCTGTCTCTGGCTCGGACTCCTCCGGCCCCCAGCGCTCGCACCCTAGCGGAGAGGCGGACGCACTGCAGCCGTCACGGCCCGCGGCACACCACCAGGTCCCGGGTCTTCGGGGCGGCCAGCCCCCGGCCCCGGCCCCTCGCGTCATAACACAGACCCGACGCAGACTGGATCTCTGCCCTGGCTCTACCTCTGCCCCTCCCGCCCTTGCTTATCCAGGCCCAGCTCCCAGTGAGCGCGAACCGAGCGCCAGCTCCATTACGGGTGGGCTGGGCTTCCATCTCGCCCCGCCTCGCCCCGCCGCAGACTCAGATAGGTCTCCCCCCAGTTAGCTTTGTTTCGGCTCACGTCAGCCTCCTGCCCAGGGTGGAAACGGTCAGGTGGAGCTTCCTCCCGAAATTTGGGCCCAACCCTGAGAAGCAGCCGCCCTCGGACAGACATCAAATCTGAGCAAGAGAAAAGAATTTTCCTGTGCCCTCTGGATCCCAGCGCCCACACGTTTTAGGTGCTCAATAAACAGCTCTTGAAGTTAGAATCATGTCTGCTTTATTTGTGAGGCTGTTACCTCTGAACGGATTCAGGCTGCAGTACAGGGCTGATTACCGTCGACATATAGTAGGAGCCAAAGGGCTCCATCGCTATAGAGGTAGAGGTAGAGGGTAGAGATTCAAACCCAGATTCACCTGGGTTTGAATCTCAGCTGCTCTATTTTCTGTCTGCAACCTTGGGTAAAGTGCTTACCCTCCCTGTGTGTGCCTCAGTTTCCTCATAGCGTCATGTTAGGATTGCACAATTAAGTTAGAGTACTTAAAATGCCTAGCACAGGACTCGGAAAAAGTAGGCACCCAGTGAATGTCAGCTCTTCCTTCCTTCCTTCCTTCCTCCCTCCCTCCCTTTCTTTCTTTCAGCATGCGGGATCTTAGTTCCCTGACCAGGGATCGAACCCCCGCCCCCTGCAGTAGAAGCACGGAGTCTTAACCACTGGACCGCCAGGGAAGTCCAGAGCGTCAGTTCTTGTGATTGCTGCAGTTTAAAGACTGGCTCAATGTCTCTGGAGGAAATATTTTTAACTCTGCTGGGTGGGTGCCCAAGGCTCTAACTCCTTATGCAACTATCTTGGTCTGTAAGCAGGTGTGAATGGGCTAGCATATGCTCATGACAATGCCTGAGTGTACTTCTGACTGTGACCATGACTCATGTGACTGTGCCTGTACTTGAGAAAGCTGTAGCCAGGTCCAGATTGCATTAGGTACTCAATGTGTGCATGTGCCAATCACCACATGCCCCACTGCTCACACCATGTTCCCGTCCACCCACAGTAGCAGCGACATTTGAACTCCACAGCCAACCGATCCTTGAGTGAGAGGGCACCTCGGAGGGTCAGAGGCCCACCACCAGGCGTGGACTCGATGGAGAAACTGGTGGGGCTGAGGATGAGGCGGGCCTCGGGGTGACTGGGGCGCCGAGCACAACGGCCATGGCCAGAGCACAGGACTTGACTGCACAGAAGAGCCCCACTGGTCACATTCAGGATGAAGGGCCCCAGTGTCGTGTCAACATACTCCTTGATGGCCTGGCAGGATTCCTAGGTGGGAGGGGGAGCGTCAGGACACCACGGCCATGCACGGGTCCACCTAGGACATTGAGGCACTCACCTGCTGGTCAACCAGGACTGCAGGGGTTAAGGGTGGGCCAGGGTCTCCCCAGTCAGCCTGAAAGCCCCACTCCTGCCGCCACCCTCACCCCCATCCTGGGCTTGAGCTCACCTTGGTTCTTGTGTTCTCCCAGCTCACCCAGAGCACCACTCCTGCTGCCCCCTGGGCTGCACTCTCCCCCAGGCTGTGCTCCAGCTCCTCCTGGTGAAAGGACAGCATAGCTCTGTGGGGCCTCCCTCCGTCCCCACAGCAGCCTGCTGTAACACTATTGCATGGGACAAATAATTCATAGCCTGCTCTAGCTGTGGTGGCCAGAGGCAAGCCTGCCCTTACTCTAGCCTGTGAGTGCCATGCAGGCAGGGATGATTTCTTTCTGAAGAATGCTGAATTGTCTGTGCCTAGCACAGAACTTGGCACACAGTAGGTGCTCAAAGAATGTGAGAGGGAATGGATGAAAGTGTCCCAAGGCTAAAGTGCCCCAGGGCTATGTGGCCTCACTTACTGGACTAATGCCTGACAATGTAGGTTACAAGGTGGGCCGGGTCACAGGAGACTCACCAGGGGCAGAAAGCGGTTAGTCATGTCGTAGAAGATCTGGACGTAGGGCAGCACTGGCAGATCAGGGTACCCTGCACCCACGGCCAAACGGAATGCCTCACCCACACGGTGCTGCACAAACATCCGTGCCTTCTTCGTGCCCTCCAGTGCTGCGGGCAGGTAGATGCTGGGGTAGAGGGCACGGCTCTGGCCCCACAGCCACCCCAGCTGGTCATTCTCGGCACGGATGCCTGGTGGGCACTGGCCAGTGTAGTTGGGATTTTTAAAGTCATAGTTATAGCAATCAGGGAAGCCATAGAAGCCCCAGAGGCCACGAGGCTGCAGTGCTTGTCCCAGCCTGAGGGTGCCTGCCATCCAGGCCCGCGCAGCCCCCTCGAACTGGTCCTGAGCTGCTGCCTCCACCCAAGGAGCTGGCCAGTCAGGGTGCTGCCCCTGTACCAGTGCCCGTGAGCGCTGCCGGTAAATGTCCTTGGTGTCCCAGTTGAAGGCCCAGCGTGGGCGCCATGCCTCCCAGTCAATAACTGCCAGCCCTGAGAAGTTGGATGCAGGCATGGCAGCCAGGATGTCCTGGAACGCGCGGGCCAGGTGGACAGCCAGGCTGGCATTCTGGGGCAGGCCACCGAATACGGGTTCCCCAGCAGGTGTGTAGTAAGGGTAGGTGCCCAGCTGGGAGCTGTAGAAAATGGTCATGTCAGGGCCGCGGAAGGTCTGCCCCGGGTTGGCCACCACATCAAAGACACTGACATCCACGTCCACGCCATGCCTCTCTAGACACCACTGGGTGTTTGCATTCCAGATGGTGGCGAAGGGCCGGTTGGGTACCAGGGGGTCCCTGGAGCCTTTGGCCATGCAGAGCAAGTTCAGGAAGAGGGTGCAGATGGGAAGCAGGTGGGCTGCCGTGGCACAGGGCAGGTCTAGAGAAACCTGGCCAGGGGAAGCAGAGCTGAAAGCAGGCCTTGAACTCCCTGACCCCTACTGAGGGCAGGCAGGCCAAGTCCCTTATTAATCCACCTCTGTTCTGGCTTCAGGTAAATATTGACCTGCAGGGTTCGGAGAAGTCAGAGGGCAAAGGAGAGGCATTGAGGGGAACATGGCCACTTGAGGGCACATCCGAGTTGCCTCTTGGGCCGACCTCTGCCCTCTGTCTCCCACAGGTCTTGTCCTGGCTTGCCCGCCCCCTTTCCCCAAGGGCCACAGAAGCCATGACATCTGTCTTGAGAAGAGTGGCTGAGAGCCAGGCCCTCAGCCCCCAGGCTGGCCGACTGACGGAGGCGGGGGCTTCCCTGTCTCTTCCCCCAGGAATCCTGGCCACCCATGCAGGAGGGCATGCTCAGTGACGCAGGAAAGGTCAGCCCAGCCCTCCTGTACACCCGCCAATCTGCCCACTTGTCCCTGCTGACCTCAGGGCTGAAAGGCCTCATTCTCCAAACTTCCTGACCTCAGGGTGAGGGCCTGTGCAGGGCTCAGCAAGATTCTGTTCCTTAACTCTGGCCTCAGCTGCACCGAGACTCTTGGAGGAAGAAGCCGCTGCTAGAAACCCTGAGCTTTTGTAGGGGTCACCCCACCCAGTCTGGGGGCGGGCTGAGGGGCGGGCCCTGAGTTAGAGGGCTGGGCCAGACAGCAGAGCCACCTCTGCACTCCTAGCAAAGTGCCCTTGGTAGGAGGTGGGGCTAGGCCGGAAGTGGCCCCTTCCACTCCGTCAGCACTGGGGCTGGACTTTGTGGCTTTACTTGGGATGGTGTGGGGATGGAGGCAGTGCATGGGTGCCGTCTGGGTGGCAGATCCGACTGGGTGTGATACTGGAGTCTGGGTGCCTTCCCCACGTGCCTGCATTATGACACCTATGGGCCCTAGGCACTTTCACCTTTGTGGACCCATTCCTCAAAAAAACATTTTAAGGGAACGGTTAGGACTCTGTGCTTCCACTGCAGGGGACACGGGTTCGATCCCTGGTCGGGGAACTAAGATCCCACATGCTGCGCGGCCAAAAATATACATATTTAAAAAAATATATATTTAACGACTATACTGGCATAAGTACAGATATAATCCAGACTGAATTCATTATTTCATATTCATTATTCCTGTATTTTTTCTTCTGATTAAAAAAGATTAAAATTAAAACATTTTTGTGGGCCCGTATAAGTATTGTGGCCCTGTGCCTACAGTGCCTAGTGGATAAATCATCCCCCCTTTAGGGACCTGTGTCTGAAAGGAACTGTGTTCCTGAAGTCAGGGCTGCGTTGTCACCCTTTGTATATGTGCTGGATCAGTGACTGTGTCTGTGTAAAGCTCCAGTTAGTGGACATTTGGGACTCTCCACAAACTCCAGTAGTGTGTATGTGCAAGTGTGGGACCCAGTGCCTGGGACTTGGTGTGTGTGAGACGCTGTTTTATGACCATGAGACCCCATGTTTGTGTGACCACGGGTATGAGCATGAGTGTATCAGTGAAGACGCGCTTGTTCATTCCTTCGTGATTTTGCTTGTTTGCTGATTCAGACGCTAGCAACTGAGACCTGCTAGGTGCTCAGGCCCAGGCTTGCCTGCCAGAGTGGGGTGAAGGAAACATCATGTTCCTGGCCCAGGTGAAAGCACTGAACAGCCCAGTCTGAACCTGAGCTCATAGCCAGGTCACAGCTGCGTGGGTCAGGTCACAGGTATGTCTGGATAACCTGTGTGTTGGCAGGTTACAGATGTGGGCAGGGTAGCTAACAGGTATGCATGGGTCACATCTATGTAGGGGAGGTCACAGCTGTGTGTGGGGTCACAGTTGGGTAGGGGAAGTCACAGGTGTTGGGGAGATAGGTCACAGCTCCTCCTTCCTTGCCCTCCCTCTGCTGGCTCCATCATCTTATGGCCTTATTGATCGACACCTGAATCTACTCTCCAGCCGGCCTCTCCCCACCTTGGTCACAAGCAGCCAGGACCCCTCCCCTACCCCCACCATGTGATTTGACATCTCCCTCCCAGTGCTACCACCCTCTCTATTCTCTGCCATCAGCAGCCAGAGGGATGAAGGATCACTTTACAACCTGAATCAATATCGATTTGGTGAGGATTGCTTCTCCAGGCTCTAACCACACAATCCCCTTGCCTGTATGCCTCTGGGGAGCACTCTCCACTGTCCAACATCTGACTTGGCCTTGGCATCCAAAGTGCATCTCCCTTTATGCCGTCATACCCCTGAGGATGGCAGTCTTTGCTGGTGTGGTTCATGGGTGCATCCCCAGCACCCAGCCCAGCCCGGCAACATGTGTGTGTTCAGTGTGTTCACTGACCAGGTAAGATAGTCACTATCATCAGACAAAATCAGGCCTGGTGCCACTCGAGGGCCACCTGCAGCATAACCCTCTGTCACACCCAAGCCTCAAACTCTGTCTCCATTTGTGTTCTGTCTTCCTCCAGCCTTTGCCCATGCTTTGTTCCCAGCATCAAGTTTCCCCCCCACCTTTCAAAACTCAGTGTAGGGACTCTCAATGTAGGGACTTCCCTGGCAGTCCAGGAGTTAGGAAACCGTGCTTCCACTGCAGGGGGCAGTGGTTCGATCCCTGGTCGGGGAACTAAGATCCCATGTGCCGTGCATGGTGCGCCCCCCCCACCCAAAAAAAAAACCCAACCCAACCTCAATGTAGAAAGCACTTCCTTGAGGCTACTTCCCGAGTCCTTGTGGCTGGGGTGCCCTCCTCACTGCTCGACAGTTTCTTGAGTGCATCTCAAGCCGGTATTATCTGAGGGCAGGGGATCAGTCATCACTGATAGGGACAGGAGGAATCCAGGTGTGGGTCCAATGGCTGAGGGGAGGGGCAGGGTTGAGGGGAGGGGCAGGGCCCCACCCAGAATAACTCACTTCAGAAGCAGAGGAAGTGAAGCAGGTCAGAGCTGGTATGACAGCTCTGGCTGCTACTTCTCTCCCCTGGGACAGCTGGGGACAAGCTATGCTCTCCCATGGCCATTACAGGGCTGACTGTTGAGGATGCCTCCCCCTCACCCCATCATGCATCTCTGCAGTGGGACAGGGACTGGACCTCATGATTCAGATCCCAATGCCCTGCTTGCCTCCCCCTGACCATACCCAGTGGAGGACTCTGAGCTAGATGGGGAGAAGTGCGTGTGGCTGAAGTCCACTGTCCTTGGGACTGGGGAGTGGAGGAGCCGCCCTTGCCTGTGAGAACAGCAGGGAGGAGTGATCTGGCTACCTGCCCAGCCAGGGAAGATCAAACATCCGCTTTCCCCTTTCTCCTTGGGTGGGCAAGGCGAGGCGACTGGCACCAGCCCAGCTGGGGATACAGTACCAAGTAGGAGAAGCACAATGAGCCCCATCCCTCACAGAAGGTTGTACCCAACTGCTTTCCAATCAATATGGATAAAGCAAGGTCCTTGGTGTTGGGGTAGACTGTGAGTCCCTCCACTCCCAGTGGCCCCTGCCCTAGCAGGACAGCTAGAGTGGGAAGCTCTGGCCTGCAGATCCCAGTGAATGCATTTTACAGATGAGAAGTCGCCAGCAGAGAGTCTCACAGAGACAGAACTGAGCTCAAACCTTATATGGAAGACCCTGAAATCTCTCTCACATGCCCTGGCCCAGGCACAGACAGTCCAAGCAAGGAAGCAGTTGTTTCATATTTAATTTACAAAAGAGACCCCAAAATAATAATAATAAACTATTCACGGGCAGGGGAGTAGGGTCAGGTCCTCCCCGGCCCAGCTGTGCCCCTCTTCCTCTCTGGCAGGGAGAGAAGGGGCCTCCCACAGGACTGTCCCTCCCCCTTAGAACAGGGGGTGGGAGCTGGTACGGACACCCTACTGGGCATCCCAGGGGGTTCTGCCCCTTCAGACTCTGGTTTGTCCACCCCTTGTGGGCTCCTACATGCCTAGCAGAGCCCTTGTGGCAGAGGCCAGCTTGCCTGACAGCTGCGTGAGAGACCCTTACAAAGTCCAGGTGAGGGCCAGGGTGGCCACAGCCAGCAGGCTGGTGAGGTGGGACCCAGACCAGGCCCCACTGGCACCCCCAGCTGCCCGCCTGCGGTCCCACTGGCATTGCTCGCCGCCCCAGCCTAAGTAGCACTGGCAGCGAAAGTGCGTCTGCAGGTGGTTGCGGTCGGCCCAACTGAGTTCCCCCTCTGGTCGCAGCTGCGGCTCACCAGGTGCGTGGCTAGGCACTAGGCGGAAGCTGCTGGCACTGAGGTGCAGAAAGGTATTAGCACTGGGGTCACGGCGCACACAGCGCCCGTGGCCATGGCACTGGGCCCAGCTGCAATACTGGGCAGCCCAGGACACATTGACGACGTAGGGTACCAGCAACCGGGTCAGGTAATCCTTGAGGTACTGGCAGGTCTCCTGGGGGCAGAGGTCAGGGATCAGGGTCAGCTGTCTCAGCCCACAGGCCCAGATGGAAACTCTGTTTACACTGTGGTGACTGTACCTTCTTTTAACAATGCACACACACACACACACGCACGCACGCATGCCTGAACCCTCACTGTTCCTATTCCTTCTAAGAAGGGGGTGGGGGCAGGGACTGGAACCCAGCAGGGCAGATGGGGCAGGGTGGAACTCAACAGCTGGTCAGGACAGCAAATCCCCCTTCCTGGGAGAAGGGGAGGGACTGTGTCTTCTCTGTTGGGACTGGGGCTCCTTGGGTGGGGGACAGATGAGGGGACCACTTTGAGGTTTGCGGCACAGACGCTCTGCCTGTCCCTGCAGACTCAGCTCCAGTAGGCTGGGTGGGTCTTACTTACCATGCTGGTGGTGTACCCCGCATCACCCCAGAGGATGACACCAGCTGCACCCAGGGCTGCACTCTCGCCAATGGTGGAGATGAGATCCATCTGCGTGGGGAGGAGATGGTCACTGGGGAATACTGAGACCACAGGGTGAGAAGGACAGACAGTGTGGGCAGGCCCTAGCCTGTTCAGACCTGCTAACCTCCCCCCAGCCCAGTCCTCTCCTTCTCACCCCTAGGCAGCAGCTGTTTCACTTTCTCCTTAAATGTTTAAGCTGTTTCCACCCCCACTTCTGGCCTCCCATTCCCAAGCCAAGGGCCCACTTGAGCCTAGTATGTACCTATCAGGATGGACCGCAAAGTCAGAATGCTAGGCCCAAGTCCCTGCTCTGCCTGGATTTGCTGGGAAGTTCTGGGTAAATTTCTCAGCATCTCTGGCCCTCAATTTTTGTATCCACAAAATGGAGATAACAATGCCACCCTTTCATAGGGTTACAGAGATAATGAGGTGAGGAGATGTAGAGTAGCCAGTAAGCTTGGGGGCAGGAGGCCTGCAGTGGTTTCCCAAGGACGAAGGCAGGGCCCTGGGAGGCACATACCTCGCTAAGCCCTGTGAGTCCGCGGCTATAGGTGGGCCTCGTGAAGACGTAGACCGGGAGTGCATGGTTGGCATGGTGGGTGTGAGCCACGCGAAGGGCCTCCTGAACACGGAAGCTGACAAAGTTGCGGCCATGTGTGGAGGAAGCGAGTGTCTCTTCCAGGTATACAGAGGGGAAGAGGGCCGTGCTCTCGGCCCACAGCCAGGCCAGCTGGTCATTTCGGGAGACCTCAACA